ATTAACATTTTCTCCACTTCCCTTGTATCTTTCTTGGAAATGTCTGAAATTATTAACAATGTTTTCAGGAAATCAGGACCTGTAAAATAAAGCAAATGTTTTTCTTAAAACTCTTCTCTCTAATTGTTGTTTTAAAAAAACATATTAATCAATGTTCACATAACAAGAGAAAGGACACTCTGGGAAACTTTCAAAAAGCATTATGAAAAAGATTTTAAAGTTCTGATAACCAAACAGGAACACTGTAGGAACCGAAAGTAGTTTGCTGGGTTGTCACAGAGCATGACACCAACAGCAACACCAACTGACTTCAAGTAGAAACTAGTAGAAACTATAATGAAACTGTTAAAACATGCACAAACACACACACACAAACACACACACACACACACACACACACATACACACACACACGCACACACACACACCCTGCAACCTCACGTGTGTTAATTTCCAGCTGGGAGAAGGGGAATCCAGGCTTGTGTTATCTTTTCCAGTCAGGGTAACAAGCAGAGGGTGAGGTGTTCCCACAAAAATATACACCTCTTCCTCTTGCTTCTCACTCACACACACACACACACACACATGTACAGAGGCACACACACCCTTTCCTAACATCCCAAACTTCCACAGGAGTTTCCTCCTCGTTGCTCACATTCCTGTCAGTTACCTCAGCAACACACACACACACACACACACACACACACACACACTGTTAAAAACCCTTTCACTTACACACACACACACACACACACACACACACTGAGAGCATAGCTTAGTGTAGGAAAACACACACACACTCTCCATACCACACACAATCCCCAGCTTGGTTTTTACAGCCCAGTTAAGACGTGTAAAACTTTCTGTTCTGCAACCAAGAGATAATTGAATCTTATGGAAACGTTAATGAAAAAAAGTTGCAAGTCAGACAAAGAGAGGGGGCAAGAGGGAGACTGAGAGAGTGAGAGGAGGGGGCGGGGCTGAGGTGAAAAGGGGGTAAATGGGGTGAAACAGACCAAAATGTGGTTAAAAAAGACATACAGTGAAAATGAGCAGAGGATCAGAAGAAAAGAAGAAACATGTAACTGGTGGAATAAAAGAAGAAAGTTTGATAGGAAGTCGGACAAACAGCTGGGAGAAGGAGAAAAAAGAGAAAGAATGAGTACAATGTTGAAAAAGAAACACATGGGGAAAGTGGGACAAAAATCTGATAAAGAGATGAAAATGAGGAAAACTGAAAGGAAAGCGAGATATTGGAAAGAAAGGAGAGAGATAGAGGAAGAAAGATGAAATGATAAAGTGTAAATGAGGTGACTGAGGATTTGAGCAATAGATATTAATAAAGGAAGGTAAGAAGGAAGGTAAAAGAAGATGAAACTGGATATAGTGTTTAAAAGGATGATGGGACAAAAGAAGGGTGAATTGACAGAGAAAGGGGAATGGTGTGAAAAGAAGTGATGTAAACAAGCTTAGGTGAAAATAGAAAGATGACAGAAGGGCTTTGGGGTAAAAAAAAAAAAAGGCGGCAGAAAGAGATGAAGTTTAGAAAATTACAAAGAACAAAACAAGAGGGAGGAATCCAACTCGTGGGAAAGAAGAAAAGCAGAAGAAAAAGAAGAGAAAATTATAGCAACTGGGGGGCCTGAGAGGGAATAAAACAAGACTGAAAACTGAAAAAAAGAAGAAAACAGACTGTCAGAGAAGAGAGAGAAGGAGAGAACAGTTTTTCCTTGTTCCAAATGTTTTCTTTTGAGTCCGTCAGCGGTTTGTTCGGGGGGAAACTGTCCTGCCGAGCCAAACTCGTTTAGCATCGGATCTGAACCTGGAGAGGATAGAATCAGAGCAGATCACGGAGGATTACAACGCCGCACAAACACTAAAGCAATTGTCCTGCTGTCTCCCTCCTGCTTTCTACTCTTCTCCTCTTTTTTCCCACCCCTCCTTTTTTCTCTCTTCTTCCTCATTTCCATCCAAAGACGAGGAGACACAAGGACTGAGATCCACAGCGTTCACAGTGGACTTTGGAAAATACGACCGAATACACTGCAATTACCATGTTTGTACTGGAAGATGCTGCTTGTTTCACTGCATTTTCAAAAATTGTTCTACAAAAAAAAAGTTATTCAGTCCGTCTGTCTCTCCTACAGTTTGATCTTGACCTGGGTCCAGTCTTGGGTTCTGAAGTACCACCTGCATCTCTGATTTGTTCAGCGTTAAATGTGTCTGGTGGTGTGGTCGACACACATTCCACCATAGCATCATAGCTATAATTCATGAAAAATAGCAACAGGACAAATGGTGAAAGAGTTGGTGAGATGGAAGCAACTGTATAACTTGTTGTAAATTGACTTCCAAGATAAAAAAAAGGACAACTAAGAAAAAATAGGACACGATATAAATGAATGTATATCCAAGAAGAGATTAATCATACAACAGGTCATTATGTGGATGTGAAGGTAAATGACAGCTGGTCAGAATAAATGACTCTCCATAAAATGACAAAAAGTTCGTATTTTACACTGTTGTGGTGTTTTATTTGACGGGTTGATATCCATAAGAAGCTGTACCAATATCCATCTGAATGTAGTTTCACATCTGTCAAACTTACATCTGAAGCTCCAGCAAGAAGCTGGAGTTGGTGTGGAACTGCGCACCAGAGCCTTGGGCCTGGTTCTGGTTCAAATCCATGGATCATCTGGTGGCATCGGGGTGACTATCCACGATGTTGCAGCATCCATTACAGGAGTGGTGGAGCCCACTGCATCTGCCTCCAGCACACTCTCCTGAGCGGAAAGACCCTCCGAGCTGACTGGCACAGTGCCAGAGTGTGTTGAGACCATGGGGGCCATTCGGGAGGCAGAAGGCTGATCAGGCAGCTGGGACAGCAAGAGTGGAAGACTATGAAATACGCTTTACCTGGGCAGCAGCTCAGGAGATAAAGCCACCAAGCAGCTTATCCTTATTTCAGAACTCTGACTCCTGCAAGTGGATTTCATGAGTAAGCAGGTTTGCGGTCAACACACACAGACATAATAATAGCTGGTTTCCAGTCCTAGTGGAACTCATAAAACAACACGAGTGGTAACATGGGAAACCTAAAACAACAAGATAAAAGGAATCTGACGATTGGTAGAAGAATAATGTTAAAAAGATTATAAGCTGGAAAGATCATTGGAGAGCCCGAAAAAAACACTGGTAAGAGTCCTTAATAGAGATCGAAAAAGAATGTAGCGGATTACAGGTAAACACTTGGAGAAATCCTGCAAGGTTGGACGATGGATCTAGGTGGGCCGTACTGGGGGCATAAGAGCAGTGACTGTTTTGTTGTGACATCACAAAGTTACAGAAGTCCTGTCAGCTCGTTCTAAGGCAGAATTTCTGATTACGGGCTGTGTGTGTTGCTCCATGGATTGAGTGCTTTGATAATTTCACAGTATTAATATAGACCCCAGACCTGCTTTATAATCAAAAAAGACCTGGAAATCTCACTTTATATAATATGGGACCTTTAATGATTTTGTGTCATTTCCTCTTGACACATTCTCACTAAGCTTCGAATGAAAGACTTTGAACATCAAATTGTGTAACAGCATCTGAAACACCATTTACAACATTGGAACTGGGGGAAGGGCATCTGACAGTCTCCAAGACAGAACATTTTGCAATCCTGTCCATTACACACAGTGATCGGAAACATATGTGTGGAGGTGAAAAAGGTGTCTGGCTTTGAGTGTATGCTCAACTGTCTCATTTTTAATTCTTCACACAACCTTTTGTCTGTATCAGTCCGTACAACACAATGAATGACTTTGAGGAGAGACTGTCCAATAACTCCATTTATGTAGGCCTAATCTGCTGAACACTACAAAGACATACAAAGGAAATACAATTTCAAGCAGCAGGATTTCCACCCCACCTTCAAGTCTGACCATTCAGAACAGGTATAAACACTTTTGCCTTTAGTTGTGGTTGGACACCACATCCTGCGACCTGGTTTGTTTGAAGCACTCTAAGGCTTTTAGGTCAATGGACATTGGGTTTCAAAGGTGTAGCCAATTTGTGCTGAATATCAGGTCTAATTAGCAGCACTTAGAACAGCTTGGGGCCAGAGTCGTCACTTGGAATAGACCTTTTTCATGGTGGACATTTTGGCTTGTAATATCAGTGAAAGCAATGTGACATCAAGTGTCACAGTAAGCCATGCCAGTGAGCCTGCATGCACAAAACCAGCGCTAACTATCTTGCCTAAATGGAATGTAGCCAAATTGTCTTCTTTGAAAAAGGACTATTATACCAATGCACATGATATAAGACCAACTTTTTATTGCTGTAGAATCACATCTGATGAAAATATTCCTGATGTCTTGTGCAACACGTTATGCGCATGAACCTAAAACACAGGCTGACGTGGTATCTTTGGAATCTTTGGAATCTCCACTAAAAATTCAAAATAAAGCTTTGATAAGTGCTCAGCTGCACACACTTTTTTTAAAAGGTGAAACCACTGGAGGTCTATCCTGTGTTCAAGAGGTTAAATTTCAAACATGTGTCCTAAAAGTAAAAGTACTAGGCTACATTTTACCATTAGGAAAAAAGGTTACAATTTTGACTGCAGTGAAACCAAAACCCACTACTGTTTGACTTTTTTTTAAATCATCTACCTATTTTATTTTCCTAATTGTAAGAAAACTTTTAATTGCTTCATTCTAAACTGAGTCAAATTGACTTTACTTGCACAAACATAACTAAACAAACTTGCCTAGAGAGACTTGTCATGTGAAGAGCAATGTCAAATTCGTGATGAAACAAAATGAAATTCAAGGTTGTTAAATCACAAATATAAACTGCAGTTTAGAGTTTGCTGTGATGGGATGGAAGGTATGAAACGATGGGGACTACTTTTTTGGAAATTTGAACTTGTTGCTCCAGAGACTCAAATACCAAAGTGCAACCTCAGAAGTGTTTATTTTGTGAAATTATATTATAAAACAGAACAGATCCATTTACAGCCAACACACATTTTTTTCAAATATAAACAAAAACAAAACCATTTTCTACACTTAGACAATATAAAAATTATCCCTGTCAGACAGATTTAGAAGCATCACAGTGACACTTCTGGGAAAATCCTGCTTTTAATTTGTCGTTATATGACTGCTGAGAAAATGTCCTTTGTTTTAATCCCAAAAAAAATCTTGGGTGTTTCGTTTTCTTTTTCTTTTTTTTCTTCAGATAATTATTACCAAAAGCCCAGAGTTATTGCACGACTCCAAAAATGCCTGTGTCTCTGATGTTCTTTGTGTGTCACAGTAAATTAAAATGGAAACAAGATTCTGTTTGGTGTCAACAGAAAAGAATGTCAAATGCAGATGTAGAAGTATTTTTTAATACTTTAAGCTTGAACTGCTGCTGCCCTGTGGCTCCGTCCTCCAGAGGAAATGTTTGGAAAAATCTACTGTTGCTCTGTTTTCAACCAATGGCAGCCACAAGGAACAGTGCGGTAAATATAACTGGTTTCACTGTACAAGATACTCGATTTTGTTCTACTGTTTCATGTACAAAAAAAGTATTGTCTGTAAGGACTAATGCAGAACAGATGCAGGATAAATCCTTGAAGAGAGACCTCTGCTTTTTTGCTCTGACTGTATACAAAACTATTACAGGATAGATGCTACATAAACACATACAGAGAGACCTTTACAGTGGCTGCAACTGTTGCTTTTTCATTTTCTCAGCACAAACAAAAACCATAAATTCTCATTTTAATTTCCAGCCATGTAGGTCAATAACACTGGTGTGGGAGGGAAGGTTTCTTTCTGATGACACTGGTAGAGCAAAGTATAAAATGTAACCCATTAAAGACCCATACAGATCTACAAGAGATCAATACAATTATAGATTTGCTTTCTAAGTTTATAATACATACATACACACAAAAGACCAGTGGAGACTCACTGCTCCAATGCCTTTATATTTGAATCATCTTCAAAGGAATAGTTTGACATTTAGGGAAATGTGCTTATTCACTTTCTTGCCAAGAGAGTGATAAGAATATCAACATCACTGTCATACATACTCAACACAGTCATGAGAGTGATATTGACCTTTTCATCTCACTCTCACCAAGGAAGAGAATAAGCATATTTTCCTTAAAATGTTGAATTGTTACTTTAAGAACAAATAAGAATCTATCAAACACCAAAAAATAAGCACAGGCCCTTCTGTACAAAACATATTTAAAATTATGGACATTTGACTTTTAATAAGTAGTGTTCCTTCTATACAGCTAAGACATTAAACCCAGTGCAAAGAGAACATTTCATAGTCTCAGTTTCTCCTTCACATACTGCCAGGAGGCATAGCATCTGTATCTATACAGTAAACGGCTACATCAAACCAAGATTTCCAGAAATCAATAAGACCTGGAACTTGAACCATTATCCATGCATTTTTAAATGAAATCTAGAATAGTTTGTAACTGGAGTGGTCAAAGTGCTTACCAATATCTGGGAGTGTGGTGTTGCTTTTGCTTAATTTTGCATATTAGCAGACCCTAGACATTATGATATTTTCAGAATCTTCCACACAAGACTTGGTCCAATAGCACTCAACTTGTAGAACTCAATCTTCAGTTATTTGTAGGGCTGAATTGCACTTTTTAACTTAAAACTACATTTTGTTTAAACAAGTGACATGTTTGTTATACCAGAGAGCCTCGCTGGTTAAAAAGAATGATCTTTTAATCATCAACATATCTCTGTTTGCCAAGAAACAAAGCAACTTAAAACTTCCAGATTTTGGCTTGGAGTTTGACATGAGGCCCTGTCATGGACTGAGAGATAGAGAGGGAATGGCAATTATCACGCTCAGAAAAAAACTCAACCCGGCTTGTAAAACATCCTGATAGTTTGTGGGAGACATCAGTGGTCTGGTCTGGGTCCATGCTTTTCCGACAACACTGCTGAGAGAAATGTGGAGGCTGGACCAAGTCTCTCCCATCAAGTCTTTATTCTCTCTCTTCATCTCCCGAGTTTGTCCTTCATTGTGCTTCATTTTACCATTTATTTGAGATAAATTCATCTGAACTTTATGAAGTTCAGAAGAGATGAATGTGAGCTCGCTCCTGAGATGAAATTTCAACAATAATATGAGATGATCTTGAAATTCTGATTTATAAAGACATGTAATTTTCTGATGCCCAGAGTACGCACAGTGCAATGAAAGCAATCATTTTGCTAGCATAATCTTCATATAGCATGTACTGTCACCAGTGGGTTTAGAATGCAGGGAAAAAAATAAATGGAACAGGTAGGAGCTTTGTGTCTTGATCAAAGGTGCTTCATCACTCACTGATATCCCACATCCATGAATCCTTCCCCACTATGCAGCCACCAGAACAATTATCTGTATCTGCCCACCTTGAGTAGAAACACCACGAGTCAAACTATTGCAGCGTCTAAGCAGAACAATGCACTACCAACATGTTTTTTCTCTCTACTGTTCATTTAAATCTACAGACAATATCTTGATCAAGATCTTCTATGCTGACTAAGTGAACGACTGTAGCCTGTAGCTCTCAAGGATACCTGGTTAGCTAGCTAGGTAGCTGTTCAATGTCATGTTGAAGAATTCATTAATGAATCTAAATATAAGCAATTATCATTTATATATATTTTTACTTCAATAACAGTGCCTTATTTGTCAGTTATGTGTTTTCCAGTTTGCAAAATTTTTCAAAAACTGTGACTCTTGGTTCTACACAGCTCCAATAACCTTTGATTTAGAGACAAATTAACTTTTAAATTAGAGTTGGAATCTATGGGAGATAAACAAAACATGACAATGACTTGATTTAAAGTATGAGCCAAAACTAACCTTCCTCATGCTTCCTCCCTATCATATTAACAATGGTTCAAATGAACCAAACCAAACTGTGCAGTATGCAAGGAGGTACATATGAGATATTTATCCAGTGATACAGGCACTGTAATAGACAGCACTGCTGGCATCAGAAAGAGCAGATATAAGAGGGCTGCTTCCTTCATCACATCCATTAGCACCACTCATAATGCTGACATCCCTGTTAATAATACTGCTAACACTGCTATTAATACTACCACCTATACTATTGCTACTGCGCCCACCCAGGACTTTGGACCCACCCCCACAGACCCCACCAAGTCCGAAGGCCTCCTCTCGATTCCTTCCAATATTCACATACTGGTCGAATTCGTGCCTGTCCACCTCGGACCAAAACTCAGCAGAGGAAGAGCCTAAATGGCCAGAGGACTCGGGGTTTGAAGGGTCTAAGTGCACAGGGGGAAGGAAAGTTGACGAGGGGATGGAGGATGAGCAGGAGGAGGGAGAGGTTTCTGGGGGAGGGGAAAGCTGCCCCAGGTGAGAAGGGGTGAAATGGGTAGCATTCGGGGCGCTGTTCCCATACATCTGACTGAAGTAGCTAGCAGGGGCAGTACTCAGGGGCGTTTGGTGGCATTTTATTGGTTCAGAGAGGCTGATGGAGGGCTGGGCAAAGGAAACAGGGGTGGGGGAGGTGGATAGAGATGGTGGGCACTTTACAGGACTCCTTAAGGCGATGTGGTGACTGGAGGCATGAGTAGGATTTAATCTGGAGTTGACCGAATTGACCAAAACTGAAGTGACAGAGCTCATGCTCGAGTTCATGTTTGACTCAACGGAACTCATTCTAGAGTCAATTCTCGAACTTCTACCTGGACTCAAACTGGAACTCATACTGGTGCTTAAATTGGCACCAACACTCATTCCTGAACCCTGACCATGTGTCGCTGCACCGTGTATGGAGTTATGGTGACTATGGTTGTTGTAGTGATGGCTGTAATGTTGGTTATGAGGGTGAAGGTGGTGGTGGTACCCGCTCCAACCTCCCATCCCCACCTCTTCTTGCATGTGTTGGGGGAAAAACACAGATTCCCCGGCTCCATCTTCCAGAACATCCAGAGGGGACATCTCTGGAGTGGGCAGGCCGTAGCTCTCCAGCTCTGGGTGTCCTGGACCCTGGAGGTCCCTGAAGTGCCCCAGAGAGGGCAGCAGGTGGTGGGGGTGATGGTGGTGAGCACCTGGATGTCCATATGCAGAACCTCCAGAGACACTTTCTGCACCCAAAGGGCTGACGCCAGGACCTAATCCAAGGCCTGGTGCACCACCCTGGGCCAGGCTGTGAAGCAGAAGCCCCGGCTCAACCCGCTTGAGTTTCTTGGTGGTCTTTTTTCGGCGAGGCCTGTACTTGTAGTTTGGATGATCCTGGAGGTGCTGAACACGGAGTCGTTCTGCTTCCTCCACAAATGGTCTCTTGTCTGTGGCACTCAGGGCCTTCCATGACTGACCTGAAAGGTTCAAGGTACATTATATTCATTATCGTAGGCTCTTGACCAAAGAAAGAAGGTACACAAAAAAGCAGTCTATGAATCCCACTGACAATCATTATCAAAGTCCTCATCATCATCATCTTCATCAGATGTTAGAGGCATAACGAACAACTATTGTCATTATTGATTAATCTGATGGTTATTTTCTCGATTAATCAAGTAATCATTGAGCCTATAAAATGTCATAAAACTAAAATTTAGAATTTTCTTAAGAGCAACATTGACATGTTCAAATTACTTATGTCTAACAAACTGTTTACTGTCATAGAGGGCCAAAATAACCTGCAAATATTTGCATTATAGGAGCAGGAACCAGGTAAATGCAAACAGTTTTCCTTCAAAATAAAGAGTGAAAAAATCACTGATTATCAATATTGTCTGTTGATCAACTACTTGATTAATTGACTAATTGTTTCAGCTCAAGTAGAACCCCTGTCAAAGCTAGAATAATCTTCTCTGGTCTTAACAAACACAAGTTTTGTTGTGCATCAGGCTCTGAGAGCCGCTAAAATGCTGATTTGAGATGGGTCCTCTGTAAAGCCTAAAACAGAAACAGTAAGGAAATACTTCTCAACATCTGTGTGTTCAAACTACTGAAATAAACACTGCTGATAATTCAGCCTATAAGACGTCCCACAAAGCTTAATTTTGTGGGGGTAGTTAACATCACAGCCACTGCTTTAAGTGCTTATATTCCCAGTTTGTCTTCTGGTTGTCGACACCAGCAGCCTGGAGATTTGAGAGTCATGTTTCCTTTTCTTTATGGTTTTTGTTACAGAGCGGCTCACGTTGCAGATGAGCTTCAGCAGCAGACAGTGAGACCTGAGCAGTTCTCAGTGTAAATATGACACATTGTGTGATTGTGTGATGAAATAACAAAAGAACAAAATGTTGCTCTCCACAGTAACAGAAATAGAGGCCAGTAAAAGCTGCTACATATGCTGTGTAATCTTCTGCACCCTTTCTTTTCTAACATCACCCTGAAAATGTTTAGAACATATTTATAATAAATACCAGTTAAGTTTAACTGAACATTATTCAAATGATTATAGTTTGATTACTCATTTTTATTGAGAAACTGACTCTTGGAATTTAATAAATGAACTAAATGGTCTATGGTGCTTCATATATGGCTCCTCATAAATATATACATATATATATATATATATATATATATATAAATTGGCTGGGCACAGTTTAAAGGCGGTTGCTGGAAGAACAGCGGCAGCTTGGGTTCATGCCGGTTACAGTGGACTCCATAGTTTGATAAAACTTTGCCGTCTGGAACGTAATAAGCTCATGGATGGACAGTAGAGAAGTGAAGTTTCTAATGACTTTTGGGATTTTTTTCTTCCACTTTGTCACTGAGGGAAATAAAAACTTTTCACACCTTTCAATGGAGTGTTTGATGCTGAAAATATATTTTTAATGTGGAGATGGACGTGTAAAATTTTATTTTAATTTTCGCACATTGCTTTAAATCTATGATGTGAAACAGTCCTGATCTTGTTCAGCCAATAATTTCTTACAGATGTCGATTTACTGCTTCAGCAGTATACAGTAAAGATGTTAACACTTAAAAACTTCCATTGTAACTTACTTGTAATATATCATAAAATATATAATAAAATAGATCAACCGTAAATCTATAAACAAACAGAATTAGCAACTAATTGTTCAAATTTAGGGTTTGATTACAAAAGTATTAAACATTATGTAAGTGTATCGATTTAAGTCATATCTAAATGATTGATTATTTTCAAAAGTTTTTTCAAAATAAGTAATATACATGTTGTGTAGCAATATAACTACGTATCCTGTGTCAGACATTTGAAAGGTAATTCTAATCTGATGCTCTGCATGGTTTTTATTAGTAATATTAGAGCCTCTGGGGCTATAAATGACTCAGATGGGTGGGGTTTGTCACACTGAGCAACACTGATCAAAGCAAAACTGCTCAAAAACTTGGTTGCAATTACATATTTGAAAGTAACTTAATAAAAGTGTTGTTCGATATGTTGGTTCCGCTGATCAATAGTGTTCAGGGCAAAGTTACCCAAAACCATTTTAAGACTAAGATGATCTTAGACCATATATCAAAGATCATCTGAGATGCTTTTGGAAGACTCTGCCCTGATGGGGTAGTTTACACACTTCAACAATGATGAAATAGATTTTTGAAAAATTTATTGAGGTGGGTCTGGTGATCTCCACAATTGTTTCTACTGATAAACCTTTAAAAAACAGCTAACCCTAACTTGTCTGGTGAGAAAGCTTTGAAGTTCAAACAGTTTCAGATGTTTTTTTGCCCTGGTGAGACTTAAGTTTTTGTTGTTGTCTTACCGAGCATCTTGCTGAGCACAGCATTGTGCAGGTCAGGGTTCTGCAGGGCCAGTCGCTTCCTCTCATCTTTAGCCCACACCATGAAGGCATTCATGGGCCTTCGGATCCTCTGCTCAGCTGCCACGGCCTTCCCGTCAGCTGACACACCTCCTGCCTGGGTCAGGTCCGGACTCTGTCCTCCTGAACTGGGTGTCAGAGAAATCCTCGGTTCTGCTCTCCTCATGCTCCCGGGTCCGAGGCCATCGGGAGAACTGCAGTCCCCGGAGAGGGTCTGCTCAAAACCCATTTCAGAATCAGAAGCAGGACTCGGGGTTCTGGATGTCCAGGGGCCCCCGAGGGACACCCGGCTTGGATGCAGAAGAGTCTCTCTAGACAAGCTGGGCTCGGTTAAATTCATTCCAGAACCGGGCTCGGCCTCAACTTTTAGTCCAAGTGAAATTCTGCAAACGTCTGTCTCAGTATGTTGGGTTGCAAAGTTCTGGAAAAGATTTGTAACTCAAAGTGTTTCAGACGACAAAGAGAAAGATCAAAAGAGGAATTCGATGGATTTGAAGCACAAATCCCAAAGCAAAGCATCGAGATCTGAGAGGAGAGAGAAGAAGAGAAAGAAAGAGAAAACAAACAAGTTGTGGTGCAGGATATTCCCCCTGAAAATGATCCACAATGACTCTGCCTCTTTCTTTTCTTCACTCTTTTTTTTTTTCTAAAAGACAACAGTTCTTGTTTGGAGTGTGCGGTGCAGTGGTTTGTCCAAAGCTTGATTCCCCTTCGTCACTCAGGCCGTCCGACTCACTGTCTCTCTGTCTGTCTGCCCTGGTTCAAAGTTTTGAAACTTGTGGCCAGATTTAACCAACCCACGCTGTGTATATATACCCCGCCCTGACCAATCAGATAAATATATAGCTGGGGATTTAACCAATGAGACGCCAGGTGGGCGCGAGGGGAAGGAACGAGTGTGTGTGGGAGACAGGGCAAAGGAGGGAGGGAGGGGGGTGGGGTGGGGGGGTTGGTCCAAACGTTGCCTCTCCCTCTTTCCTCCTCTGCGACCGCCACCCTTTCCTCCCCCCTAAAGCTTCGCATGCACTCACACACACACACACACACACACGCACACACACACATACCCTGTCCGCCTGTACAGGGAGATGTAATCAGAGAGGTTCCATTGTTTCTGCCCAACTGAGAGTGGAGATTCTCACACACACACATATACACACTCACACGCGCGAATATACACACTAGAGACACACTAGCATGCAAACAGAGGAAGGCACACACACATACACACACACATGCACACATATATAAATGCACAAATACATACTCTAACACACATGCATGAAATGACATTTAAATGAGAGATAGACAACTAATGAGAGAAGAAACATGAGTACACACACACACTAGAATGTGTTTCTATATGTGTTAGCGTGGGCTTACAGTGTGTGTGTGTGTGTGTGTGTATAAGTATGCGTGTGTGTGTGTATTTGAGGGCAGGACAGTGGTAACACAGTCGACCACAGTCCCAACCAGAGCAACCTTAGTGGCCTGAAGCTTAACCAACAACTCATTGGGGGAGGGGCGGAAAACCGCTGGGAGGGGGTTGATGGGCCGTTACGTTGCTATTCACACCTGCAAGTGGTGGGGGAGGATACTGTGTTCTACGATTTACAAAGCGTATCCGCTCGTCACACTCGTTCGCGGCATGGTTGTTACAATCCGCCACGAACCGATCCGTGGTTCTTGACCATGTCGGATGTACTCGTTTCGAGCGACCACGAGAGAAGGGGCAGTTGCTGAAAAAAGATACTCAGCTGAACTTAAATGCTCCGTAAGCTAGAATGTAGCAGTGGTTGCATGTGGTGATTGAAGGATTTGTTGATTGATCAATTATTCAAATGACAGAAAGTTCATCAGCAACAATTTTGATAACTGAGTTTCATAATTGACTCTTTTCTGCTTTTCAGTGGTTTATATCTCTGTGAACTGAAGATCTTTGACTTTTGGATTCTACAAAACAAATAACAAAGATGTCCAACACTGATTTTGCGAAATTGTGATTCTTTTTTTTTTTTTTCTTTTACAATTTTATGACATTTTATTAGATTGAATGAACTAAGGAGAAAAAAAAAACAATTCCGTTGAATTAAGTTGTTTTTTAATGTATCAGTTAACATACCTGACCACTGTCCCGCATCACATACTAAAGGTGTACTGCGGTTGGATACAGATTCAGTGAACACGTCGTGTCACATGTCATGTTGTTGTCATGAAGAGTTACCTGTTCATTGTACAGGACGAAAAAAAAGAGTCAACACATTAAGACGTGGGGCGTTCATGTGCTGCTCAGAGGTTCTGAAATCAGAAACATGACAGTGTTGCATTCATGAGCTACTCTAAGCTGTGGGAAAACTGATGGCAGAGGACACAGTATGATGAACAGTTGATGGGATTCTGGCAGATCATTAGATTAAATATTTTGCTGTAATTTAAATAATAAATAGAAATAGAAATACATAAAACCCTTTTTCTGTCCACTACAAAGTCCTGAGTTCTTAACACAGCTACTGAAGTGAATCTGGAAGGAGAAACTGTTGTTTTAACATGAATATTATATGTGGTGCGTTTGTCTGTCTGCCAAGGACATGCCCCCCACCCCAACCCCCTTCCTCCACCACAATATAATTACCCCCTGCACACACACTCACACATACACACACGCACTTACTTTCCTCCCCACGCCCAGCTCCAGGGGAGACTGCTGTGGCGTCTCAGAGCCTCCTGCTCAACCAACCAGGAACTACTCCCACTTACCACTGCTGTCCCAGGCTCCCTGTGTGTGTGTGTGTGTGTGTGTGTGTGTGTGTGTGTGTGTGTGTGTGTGTGTGTGTGTGTGTGTGTGTGCGCGCATATCTGCTACATCTTTATGTCTTTATGTCATTGTTTAAATTGAGTCTCAAGCACCTACTTATAGCTCCGTTTTGAGCTGATATGAACCCATGTACCCCTGAAGTGTCTGCACATATTATATTGTATTATTGTATAGAGGAACTATTGTAAAATCATCAGGTATAAAGAAGTGCAATAGTTGTGGATCTGAAAGTTTGAAATTTGTCCTGGATTTTGTTCTAATTTCACTTTGACATTACGGTTTGTAGAATAGTTGGATTCATGTAGCCAGTGATAGTGTTTTACTCTGTTCTGCATGGATTCTCTGTGTGGCAATTAAAGGGAATTTTTTTTTTAAAAAGCACACACTGAAAAAACTGAAAAACTTGCAACTGAATTAAAAGTTTGAATATGGTGAAATGATAAAAGCAATACATACTTTTCAATACAACAATATGGGAAAAATAATCTAGTTATCCTTGAAAATCTACACTCACTGAGATCTGATCATTGCAGGTAGCCTACAGATATATCGAGCTGTGGAATCATTTGAAAATTTTAAATTAGCCAAAGAATCCAGTTTCAGGTCCTGCTGAAGTCTGTTCCATCTCAGTGGAGCAAAACTTTTAAAGGAATAGTTCAAAATTTTGGGAAACTTAAATATCTATTTTCTTTCTGTCAGTGAATTAAGAGGATTTATATCACTCTGACAACATTTGAGGCTTTCGGGGGACTTGTGTGGTCAATCAAATTCTTGCTGAACAACAAACAAACAAACAAAAACACACAAAAGTTTAGTAAATTCCAAAACCAATGCCCACTAACAGTACCTGCATCCTGCGCTGTAGCCATCCGCCCACCAGTATGAAATTTGCCCTGAAACCACGTCATTTTCACATTTCTGTTTTTCTATGGCTCAAACCAAGAAGATACAACAGAAAGAAACAGGCTAAGTGCTTCCAGTGATTGTGCTAAGCTATGTCACCTTCCAGCCTCAGCCCCAGTAGAGCCGTCCCCAAAGCAGGATTTTCATAGTCAACAAAGAGTTGGCTCTTCTGTTCATCTTTGGGATTCTAATTTGTGTGTGCTTGTTTTTAGGTTCATTTATATAAATGTCTTCAATACACCACACCTAAACATAGGAGAAATATATCATTCACTCCCCTGTGTCATTTCAGCTCGCCTGCCCCGCACACTGTGGAGCATCTCTCCTGTGAGGCTGCTGTCAGTGCTGTCAGCCAAACACTATTACACTGGATGGCGGTAGCATGCTAGCTTAGCATGCCAGTATGGTGGCATCTGTAAAGCCATGGCATCAGGTTTCATCCTCTGTGGACCATGAATCTGCAAAAGATTCCATAGCAACCCATCGAATAGTTGTTGAGATATTTCCCTCCAAAAACTGAGCAGAGGAAGCAGTAGATCGCCTGATATCCCAGTGTTCTTCACTTTCCCCTCATCTGTTATGTTCTTATATCAGGACACCACAGAGTTCATTATCACTCCATGTCCCATCCACTGTGTGGATGTTACAACAAAACAAGAGGGAGTGTGTGTGTGTGTGTGTGTGTGTGCGTGCGTGTGTGTGTGTGTGTGTGTGTGTGTGTGTGTGTGACAGTGTCGTGGCACCACACCTTTGCCACAAAGGAAATTTGGCAGTGACTCCAGACTTTGTGGCGAGAAAGAAAAGAGAGAGAGAGAGAGAGAAAGAGAGAGAGAGGGAGAGGGGAGGACATGGCAAGAGGGACATTTTTCCTTACAACTTCTGATAATACACACACACACACACACATACGCGTGTGCACAGACACACACACACACTGTCACACACAAACACAAACAAACACGCACCCACTTTCTGGACAAGAACCCAAGACACAATGGCATCGTAATGGGTGTGTTTACTAGTGTGTGTGTGTGTGTGTGTGTGTGTGTGTATGTGTGTGTGTGTTTATGTGTGGGAGAGGTCATGTTCACACACCGTTCTATTTTTGAATGCGCTGAAGGAGGGAAGTGTGTGTGATGATGGATGGGAGACACACACACGCAAACACACATACACACCGTTAACACGGGTCGCTGCGGGAATCCCCCACCTCTATCACCCACTGACACACACACACACACACACACACACACACACACACACACACACACACGCACGCACACACAGTTGCATAATGAGCAAACTGCACAAAAGAATCACCAGACACTTGCATATGCATACAATACACATCATTTGTATGACCTTTGACCTTTATAAATTGGACTTTGAACTCTCAGTAGCACTAAAACAAGGGACTTGAATATTTTCAAGATAACTTTATTTTTGAAGCTATGTGATCCACACAACAACTATCTGTGTCATGGTCACTAAAAGTTCTTGACTCTAATTTGACTTGACTCTAAGGTGCAGATTAACTTTTAGTAAATGGACAGGGTAACTGGACACCTATGATGCAGGTGTTTGCACTTCTAAATCAATGTGCCAGTAACAGTAGGTAAAGATAGCAAGATAGGATTTCAAATCAATTAACGATAGGAGTATCACCATCTTAGTTTAGCATGTTACCAACATCTGTGACATCTGCTAATTAGTACAAAACAAAAAGTACAGCTGAGACTGATGGGAATGTCATTAGTTTTGAGATTATTTATTCATGAAGCAATGTACTGGATAAATCAAAATTTTGACTTGATGATTAGAAATCACTAAGTGATTAAAATTCTTTCTGAAGGGACCATGAATGTGTGCACCATATTAAATGACAATCTTTCCAATAGTTGTTAAGATAGTCCACAAAAAAAAAAATGTCATCCTCATGGTGGAGCTAGAGAAAAAGCCAGGGATCACGAGAGTCAGTAGGGATCATCCTCTGAGGGCCATGAATGTCCGCACAAAATTTCATGGCAATCCATCCAGCAGTTG